GCAGTGTTTTGATAGGACACCCCAGACCTGAGGTCAGCCTGAGGACTGTGTGATACCGTAAGGATGCCCACCGTGAGTTCTGGCCACTGTAGGTGCTCTTTCATGATTGTATATCATGCGCTGCAGGCTGCACTTCCTTTCCTATCTTTACTTGAGCCAAACCAGCTCTGCAGAGCCTGTGTTTTTCCACCCTTTAATAAAACTTCGCTACCGTTTATGCTTGTATTTATCAATTCTTTGCTCAAAATAGAAAGAAGCTATAAATCACCTCCAGAAGGAGACTCCAGGACACCAAAACCTATTAACATAACAGCCTCAAAGTCATCTAGCTTTAAAAAAAAAAAAAAAGGTTGTTTTTTCTTTTTTTTTTTTAAAATTATGATACTTGGATTTACTAAATGACAACAAAACAATTATGCCATGACTCCTGCTATATAAATACCCCTTATTCTCATTATTGATGACACGTTAAATGCTCCAGTATAAAGGTAAATTAAGTTTAAAGTAGCATGCTTCAAGTACGAAAGCAAAAAATATAAACAAACTGAGGAACCATATCTTCAATTTGTGGTAAGTTTTCTTGGCATGACTTGATCTTTTGATGCACATACTAACAATGCAGACCCTCTGACATGCTCTACAGAGAATAGAAATGCTGATCTGGAACAAAAATTATGTGAAACAGCTGGAAGTGGCACAAGAAATGTACACTGAACCCCCAGCCAGTCATAAATATCACACTCTTAATCAGAAAACACCTGTCTTTTCCTTTACTTTGCAGCCCTGTTTGCATTGTGTTTAATATGTACAGAATGCTTCCTCTAACAGGTGCAAAAGTGTTTACAAATTTAAAGCCTTATTTAAATGAGGCTTAAAGCCAGAGATGTTTCAATTAAAAAGGCAATATCTTATGGGAAAAATGACAATAATGCTTGCTGTATATATATATATATATATATATATATATAGAGAGAGAGAGAGAGAGAGAGAGAGATTGCTTTGTATTAATGAAATTTAGTTATTGGAAAATTAAAGTATGGGTGCCAAGGAAAGCTAAAGATAAATAGTTCTTTAAGTAATTTTAAACAATGTATTTGTTAAGAAACTATGGGTAACAATTAAAGCTGGGAATGTCACTCACATGAAATATTGGGGATAAAAATTATAAAATGTTGGTTTTCATTTAAAAAATAGAACAACTGATGTCTCATATATCAATAAAAATGAATCTCTTTGACACTAGATTGTTTTTTTTCTATAGCTCAATTTCCCATTATGACAATTTAACTGTTAATATACAATAATCCCTCTAATCCATTGTCTAATTTCATTTACTCCATTAAACCATGGTCCAAAACATTAAAGGGAAAATTGAAGAAATAATTTATAAATAATAAATTACACGCAGGTCTCAGTAGCAAAGTGAATCTCACGCATTCCTCCTCTGCTCTTCCCAGGTATAAGTCATTTCTTCCTTCAGTGGCTGCCCGCTATCTGTGCTACCTGCCGATCAGTGAGCAGCCATCTCGGTTATCAGAGTGACTTTTATGCTTGTGTTCAAATAACCCTTATTTTTCTCAATAATGGCCCCAAAGTACAAATATTGTAATCTTGGTAATTTTAGTACAGAATATTGCTATAATTGTTCCATTTTGTTATTGGTCTTTGTTAATATCTCATCATGCCCAATTAGAAAGTAATCATATGCATGTATGTACATATAGGAGAAACTGGTATTACAGAGTCCAGCACTTACCACCATTTCAGGCATCCTGAGCCCTTACATCCTACCACCTGCTGGTATTGAAGGGGGGAGGGTACTGTAACAGATCCATAGTTGATTTTTCTGGATAAAATATGCATAACAGAAATCCTAAAGTTTACAATAGAATCACCCAAGAAAACTGTAAATGATCTTCAAAAATGAATACAATCTAAAATTAGATCCTACTTACAACTTACAGTTTATAAAATAGAAACATCAATTAAATTTTTCATTTAACTCATTTACTCAAAATGAATACAGTAATGAATTCAGTTCCCATAGGGATCAGGCAGGTAACAAGTTATATGGTGTGATATAGTTTGTGACCCTCTGGGTTATCATTCAATTCCCAATTTTTTATAGAAATAGTTGTTGAAAAAAATATTCTCTCAACTGAACTCAAGAAAAAAACAAGAAGATTCTTTAATAAAGAGTAATAGCAAGCTGGTGAGCTCAGTTCAATGTTTTCACAATGTCAAGCTTTCAATAAAGAACACAAAGCAAGCAAATCATAACCAGGGATGAGTCTTACTTTGGGCTTCTAATTTGCCATCTTCATTGCAAAACTTGAAATTATAGATTTAATGCCAAATAAATATTGGGCTATCATCTATCTTGGCCATTTAGTATATTTTGCAACCTTAGATGAGCTGAGATGAATTCCATTTCACCCTCAGCAAGAAAGGAATGGATAAACTGGTTGTGATGTTCATGTCTATGACCCCAGATCTTGAGAGGCTGAGACAGAAAGGTTCTTTTCAGTTCAAGACCAATCTGAACTACATAGTCAGACCCACTTACATAAGGAAAGGAAATCAGTAAGCACAGCTAACTAAAAAAGTTGTTGTAATTACTATATAAAAGAGGTTTAGAATACTTGACTTAGCAAGTGCTCAGTGGGTAGGAGATAGTATTTTTGTTTTGTTTTGCTTATAATTACATACAGAAGATGCATTTAATTACAAACAGAAGCTCAGGGAGCTTTATAACTTGACAATGATATGCAGAGATTGGAAAGGTCAGGATTCCTGATTCCCACTCCAGTGAGCTACATCCCTAAAAATCATACAAAAATATGACATTTTTAAAATGCAAGCAAATTCATAGTAAGGCCGTAATCTTCTTCCGTACTTTACTAATCAAAATACTATAAATATTTTTTCATCATGGATTATGACTTTCAATATTTATATTTCCACTTAATATCTGTATAAAATTACTTATTACAGGCTAACATAGAAAATAAAGGTTAATATCTGTTCTTTACAGCAGCAATATTTTGTTAGGGACAAATCCATTAAAAAATCCTCCCCACTACATCAGTATTAGTAAGAGCATTTATTATAAAACATTGGAGACATTATTTTAATTACTCTTGCAGAAATAGTAATACACTAAAAATTATTTTGAAAATGAAAGTTATATTGAATATTGTTTGAAAAATTATTTAGCTCCTTCATACTAAACCAAGTCTATTAGAGAAACTGTAGACTTAGGAGGTTTCCAGTGCTATGAGTACTTTCTCAATACCTGAGTGGGCCCTGATTCTAAACCTTCTTTCTAGCAGCACCTCAGATCCTTTAGCTGAACCTCATAAAATTCATTTTTCAGCATAAGAAGTGGATTATCCTTAATAATTAAGCTCTTCCCACTGGCTGATTTGTTTTCTAAAATGTTTTGGAACTGCCCACTAATATATGGAAACTGCAATCAGAAACAATCATGTTGAAAGTGTGGTTGATGGATTTTTTCTATGAGCTCAATGTTAACTAAACATTCACAGGTGTAGTTTCCTTTAGCCCTCACAATAACTTTAGAAAGCAGATGTCATGAGTGTACTGAAGTGTCTCATTTGTAATGAAGTTCTGAGAGAGGTTAAGTAATTTGTCTGGTAAGTGTCAGAGTCAGGACTGTAGTTACATTCCCATAGCTATTCCAGACTGCTGCTAAATTCTTGCCTTAAAACTCAACCAAAATTGATTAGATATGTTTTTAAAAAACCCTATTATTAAGCTTGCTGTCATGACAGGAGCTGGACCAACTGGAAGGGCAAAATGATCAAAGATATAAAAAATACAGCACAGGAAAATTAAAAATGAATTATTTCTTAAGACATCAAATTCTTAAAGAGCACACACTCAGTTTGCATAAAAGGAAAGACACTTTTACTCATGCACTGTAGTTTACCAATAGCCTATGAAAATCCTAACTTAAAACCACACAAAAATAATTATATTTGTATTCACCAAAACTACATCTCATCACTGAAGATCTCATCAAGAAATTTTCCTTACATGAGTGTAAATTGTTGTTAGTCATACTTACCTATTTACAGGGAACCTAAGGGGAGTTGGAGGGTAGCATAGAAGCATAAAATTAAAAGTTATTAGCAATTAAGATATTGCATTTTTAAGTTTGAGCCTATGCAAATATAATTATATTTTTTAAAGAAACTTCTACATGGAGGGCAAATCAGACTACTCTAATTTCCAGTCATTATTTTGTTCCTTTAGTAATTGCCTCCAATAGGTTATCCCATAAGGTTTCAAATACATCCTAATATTATATGAAAAATTTCTTAAAATTAAAGATAAAATATTCCAAAATATATCTATTTATAGAGAAACTTACTATGATATAATTCTGAAAAAGATTATTAGGATTGAGGCCCACCAAATGGATGAACACAGATTAATTTTGGAGATTCATATCTCTGTGATATTCTTGGAGAAAAAGGTTTCCTTTGTTAAGAAAGTAGCTCTTATTAGGCAGGCAAACTATTGACAAACATTGGGTATCTATTCCAGAAACTTATATGAACATAGAGCACATTAAATGCATTTTCTCCTGGACAAGGAAAGGAGAATCTATTGCACATGTCATGTTTCTGTGAATACTGAAGATTACAATCATGTTTTGATGTTAATCCAACTACTGCAAATTTCTTGTTGCAAAGCACAGTGTAAAAATGCCAGCGACAGTATGAATCTTTCAAAATTGAATTTAATGCCTTTGAAAACAGTTAATGGTTTTGAATGCCATTACAAAGCCTCTGACAAAAAAACAAGAATAACTCTGTAATTGAAACCACTTGCTAAAGTGACCTATTCAGTATGAAAACTGAGTAGCCATGATAAAATCAAGTTCTGCACATCTGCTATAGAGTGAGAGTGTGTGTGTGTGTGTGTGTGTGTGTGTGTGTGTGTGTGTGTTCTGAATTTGTAGAAGCAATCACCTCTAATGCTCTGATGTCCTCATAAGTAAACTGCACAGTGGGAACTCCAAGATGGTTGATGAAATAATCAGCGTCACCTTGTATCTGGACAGAACTGACATTTGTTTCCGGGCATTGAGTTCTTCTGGTACAGTTGAACTTATTTTTCTGAAAAACATAATTTAAATTGTTAATATACATTCCACTCCCCATGTCATCTCTATGTAGGTGCTACTCAAAATGTGCATTTGGATCAGCAGCAGTATCTTCACGCAGAAGCAAGTTCAACCAGCAAATGCCTGGATTCAACCCTGTGTTCTTTGATGGAATCATTTGGGGCTAGGACAGGAATCTGTTTCCTGTGATTCTGATGCTCACGGAAGCATGACTAGCATGGGTAGGAATCAACATTTGCTTGCTGTTGTTGCTTCAAAGGTATTGTTACTATAGGTTTATTTTGACAGCAATAACACTAACTGGAAAATTCTGAATTTGAGTTCCTACAAACGACACAGATAAATGAAAGCTCTGGGGAAATAAAGAGTTGTAAACATGCAAAATAAACATTAGGCAGACTAAGTGTTTATATAATTAGTTTTGACTGGAGATGCCTTTTCAAATATATTCTTCACATATCTAAGATCTTTATGAGATGCCAGTGTTTCAAAAAAAACATGAAGAAATACCCACTGCTGGGTAGTTGTAGTCAGACAAATAAGGCAAATAACTATAAGAGTATCACATTTGAAGTCAGGTATAAAGTACGTGTTCCGAGCACATGTTTAACAGTGGATCAAGATATTGATTCTTCAATCCTGTGCCTCTTAGGTACAATATCTATCCAGTTTTGAGGACCTGATAGAAAGATCTCATAATAAAACATTTTATCTACTGAAATGGAAAGCTAGCATGAGTATAACAATGAGGAAGGTTTTTAATGGTATTGACAAATATCTTAAATGATTAAGTACTTTAGAAATAGAAAAGGGTTTCTCATCTAATCTAATGAAAAGAAATCTGATGGCTTTTTAGGATGATTGCAACTAATTTTCATTTTATCAAAACCTAATTTTCTGAAATGGGAGTTAGTACTCTTTTACTCGTTTATATGTACCTGATGTTTTTAAACTTCTAGAGTATTTTTTTATCTGCAATAGTTAGAAGATCTAGTATATGTATAAGAATGACATGTCTTTAAATACTAGATTATAAAATACAAACAAATTATGTTATATTATGTAAAAATTCCAAGTATTTTTGAAAAATCTAAGTGCTGAAAATTGGAACCTCTGGGGCTGGGGATTTAGCTCAGTGGCATAAGCACCTGCCTTGCAAGCAGGCAGTCGTGAGTTCGATCCCCGGTACTGATAAAAATGAAAAAAAGACAAAAAAAAAAAAAAAAAAAGAAAAGAAAAGAAAAAGAAAGAAAGAAAAAAGAAAATTGGAACCTCTGAAGAATTTTTTTTTTTTTGTTAGCAAGACTGTGTATTTTTTCTAGTTGAATTTGAAAGCCCTGGAAAGGCAAATGTCCAGTCATCAGTGTCTTACACTCAAATTCACTGTGTGATATCTAAAATCTAAGTTGTTGGACTATTTTGTGTCATTAGTAAGAATTTGATAGAATCTGGCATTTATTTTTGCTAAATCTCTAAATAGTAAAATAAAAAATCATTTTTAACATGGCCTATAGTCTTTTGATTGTAGCAACATGTATGTATCTTCAAGTTAGAATATGCACCCTTACCAACATCAATATAAATAAAAGTTTGACTGTAATTTCATTTTGCATACATAATTCTCAAACTCATACTCAAACACCAAATATATTCCTTAGATCTAAACTTTTTTCTTAATTGAAGAATGATATGTATCAAAAATTGACAATTCTAAATTCCATTACATAAGATTTTTAAATAACTCTCTTTTAAAATAAGCATGATATTTAAGTAGAATATTTGATGCTATTTTCATTCAGCCATCATTTTTAAATACTAGCTGCCTTGTCTGACAAAAGATAGTGACTTCTCAAAAATGCAATTTGCTACAATGCCACAAACGACCTTTTGCAATCAGTTTTTCTTTTCTTTTCTTACTTTTTTTCTTTTTTTTTTTTTTTTTTTCTGGTTCTGACAACTACATGTTCTGTTTCGGTCCAGGACATTTGTAGCCAGTATTTATTCTTTCTGTTTTGGTCTCTCTTTGCATCATTCCATTTTTGTGGGTCTTTCCAGCTACAATCTTATTTGCATGTTTTAATTTTTTCAGGAAACCAGATTTTAGGATGATATTTCCTCAGTACTGAACTCTCTTTCCCACTCTGGTTTCCTCACTTCACACATTGATTGCTATGTCTGTCTTTTTCCTAAATCTTTGTGTTGTCATCAAACTCCATTTATAAACCAGTGAAGATGGTGACAGTGACCACTATCCTAGGAATATTTTAAAATTATATTCTGAAGTTTAGACAGTATTAAATTACCTGTCTGATACTACAGATGGACTACTTTGGTTAAGAAAAAATAGAGTGCAAGAATATTAAGTGGCCTAAGTGAGAGCTTAGTTCTAGAACTCAGAATTCTTTCCTCTTAAGCCGTATGTCAGAGTTATGACCCAACAGAGGATCAAGTCTTTGACAAAACCTATCTAAAATTGGGGGTGTCAGGAATAACATAGAGTTCCCTGGAGAGTCTGCACAGTGGACTGGCTCAGATTTCATCAGCTAAACCCAGAATGTCCTGAAAGTCTGTAGAGTTTACCTGACACGGCCCCTCTCTTTTCTCTCTGTCTCTCTTTATTTCTGTATCTCTGTCTTTTTTACTCTCTTAATTCAGCCAGCGAAAAGGAAGGGAGGAAAGGAACCATATTACCCCCAAACCTGCATTCATTTTGTGTCTTTGGTGTTTCTGTTTCTAACTAGATTCAGGGCAAATCAGTCAGATAAAAAGGATTCCAATTTTAATACTGCATTTTCTTCCTCAAGTCATTTCATGTACACATTCCCAAGAGACAGCATTCTTGACACAGATCCATGTTCTCTAAATAAACTTTATTAATTTAACATCTAAGTAGAATTCACATATCTGAGGTGATTCTAAGTGTATATTTGATCCTAATGTGAATCACTTTTGCACATAGTACTTGAGTGGATTATAAAAGATTCATACCAAGTAACCTACACTGATCTACGAGATAAGCACTAATATCTGAGAGGGAAGTAGAAAAAAATGCAAATTTTCTTCATGTACTACAAGTTAAGCACTGTGGGAGAAGGAAGGTTGGTAACAAATTTGTGCAGGTCAATTAACTTTTTAAATTTATTTACAAGGCTGAGTAAATTCATATTAAGTATTTCATCTAAGGAGTTAAAAATGTTCCATATTTAATGTTTGATAATAAGCGCTTTTACTCCTGTTCACAAAATAAGCAAGTTCAGGCAAGGACCATAGCTGCAACTTGTTTGAAGTGAAGACTCGAAATGAGATCATTATCTCAATCCTAACACAGTATTCAATTTGCACATACACTTTTAAGTTGCAAGGAAACATGTAATAGTAAATGATCATACAATTTAAATATAAGGAAATAAAATCAACACTTAGTTAAATAATGATACCAAGACAACAAACAAGCTTCCAAAGTGTTTAAAAATTTGTTTAAAAATTCAAATGTTTTATTTCTCCCACACTCTGCTTTTCCCTGCACACGTAAACTTTCCATGTGCACAGAAAATCTAAGCTGTTTACTTATTTGAACAGCTAGAAAAGTGTGCTATTCAAATTGAAGAACTACATTCTATACATTATAATAAAATTAAATCTTTTATTTAGCATTTCGGTATTCTTATAATTTCAATTCTGTCAAAGACAATTTCTCACATTGATTTTCTTGCTTTTATTGTATATTAATCTACCAATTGTGATCATGATATCTACTGTGTTAAAAAACGATTTCTCTTTGTAGACACTGTAATGATTAACTTGGTTAGACCTATGGTTTGCAACTGTGTGGTCAAACACAAGGCATCTTTGTGAGGGTGTGTTTGGTTGAGATTAACATTTGTTTTAGTAGCATGCAAAAACAGTTTCCCTCTCCATGGCCCTCATGCAATCAGACAAAGGCCTAAATGGAAAGAAAAAGTCTGACCCTTGCCTGAGTAAGGAGGTAATTCCACTTATCTGTATATCTTGAGCTAGGACACTGATCTTTCCTCTCTTTAGATTTTTTACTGAAACATTAGATTTTATTGGTTCTCAGATTTACAAATTTTGGGACTATAATTTATACCTAAGCTTCCTTGGTATGCAGACCTTCAAACACAGCCAGGATTATGCTTTTGGGTCTCCTTGCTTTCTATCGTGTTGGTGGCACATCTTGGAGTTTGTCTGCTTCCAAAGCATATAAGCAGAATTTTCAGGATGTCTCGGAAGATGGATATAGACATGGGCATCAATATAAGTATAGATATCTAAAGTATATGTGTATATATATAAATAAGTATGTGTCTGTATATGTATATATGTGAGACATGTACCTGTGTGGACATTTTATATGCATAAATACATATGTATGTATATATAACTACATATATACATAAAGTACACATATTATTGTGGACTGCTACAGCATACACTAGGCAGCTTAAACAGAGAATTTCTTTTTTCCATAGTTCTAGTGACTGAGAAGTCCATCAAGGTGCCATGGTGGTAAATTTAGCTGAGGACACTCTTCTTGGTTTTATCTTCTTTTGTGACTGAGAGTAAAGAGAGAGACCTCATATCTTCACTTTTTGTAAGAGTATCAATTCTCTTCCTTGAAGCTTCACTTTCAAGATGAAATAACTTACCTAAGTGTCTACTTTCAAATACTCTCACTGGGACTTTAATCTTCAGTGGTTGAATGGGAGTGAACACAAACATCTATTCTACAAGAAGCACTCATCCCTCCATTTAATTTCTTTGCTAGATAGTGCTACACAGTAGATTACCTTTGTGTTTAAGAAAGTTTCATCATTACTAGTGAACAAAAAAACTAACTTCTAACTAATGAGAATATGAAGAGCTATGTTTTGTTTAACTGGAGGTAATTTCACAAAACTTTGTTATACTGTATGTAAACAGGTAAAGAATCACAGAGAAATTTGAAACTTTCATAATTTGAAACTGAAGTTT